CATGCCTCTCACCCACTGCCCACCGGCTCCATCACCAGCACAGTGTCCGGACCCCGTCACCCAACTCGCTGTGCCCCGCAAAGTGACAGGTGAGCTACTTCTGGGTCGGGATCTGAGACTGCTACCTCCTCCGCTCCCCACACTGTCACTGGACAGTGATACTCTCACGGGCCCCTTACTGACCCCGGGCCCTCAGGCAATGCCCGAATGCCTGAATGGTCAGTCTGCCCCTGTGGAGGTGTGTGGAAGGATCACACAGCTGACAGCTTGTCAGATTTACACACAGTGCCCTGAGTCTGTGTAAAATCCCCCCAAAGCCACTGACGTATGGCATACATTGGTGGCTGTAAAAGGGTTAAAGAGTAAGTTCCCTTTTGTTGAGAAAAAACATTCCCCTCTGGGTGATCTGTGTACATTGCAGGGATTCTAACAAACTTTGTTGCAGATTCCTACCTTGTGTTATTCTGAAGAAACTACTGTTTGTCTGTCTGTGTCCATGTGCAGAGTGAATTGGAGGAATTTTATAACTATCAATCAGCTGCTGCAACTACAGGGTTCTAATGTGGAAAGGGGCAGGGTCTGCATCCCTATAAACATGATTTACCCTTTGGGAGTAGCTTAGCAAAAATTAAATTTTTGTTGCAGGGGATGCACAAAATTTTACTTGTATCAAAGTGCAGATTTCTGGGAAAATCAGTGAGCCACTCAAACAGCAGAAAATGAAATTTTTAGGAGGCGTTATGTACACCATCTGTATACAGAACACCTCCAGGTTGCCTTATTGCAGTGTATTTTACAGAAAATTACAGTGCTGCAGATTGAAAAGGAAAGGTCAAGGTTCCTGCCTGGCCAATAGTCAAATGACAGCTGGGCGGGACACGCACCATTCCAGGTAGATGACTTCCTCCTTGTGTGTGCCTAATGGGCTACACTGCGGCACGTTCTCTCACCTGCTGTGTCCACCGGTCACCTTGGATGACCAATCAGTGTACTGGCTGCTGTCAGTACCATGTGATCCCTGTTACAAATCACAGCACATCATATGACAGTTTTACACAATGGATAGCGTTCATTCATGCCATCCATTGTGGCGATCTCTGTGATTGGTCGCAGTTATCACATGGTACAGACAGGGCCAATCACAGCTAACCACAATAGCAAATACTGAAAGAATAGATTTTATTCAGTGAAAATGGTTGCTTATAACAGTGAAATTCACTGCTATAAACAATCATAATGTGTATAAAAAAATAAATAAATTCCTGATCACGTCCCCCCACTAAGGTAACACTGTATTGCTCTGGGCACAGTATGTTTTAAAATAAAAATTGTAAAATAAAAAAAAAAATGTAATGAAAAAATATATTAAACAAATTGAATTTTTTTTTTTTTTTTTTTGCTGCATACCTGTCAGTGTCCCTGATCACCACCACACCAGTTGTATGATGACTCTACTGCACTGGTGACTGTATATAAATGAAATTGTGAGAATAAAAAAAATTCTGATTTTTTTTTTCCAAAAAATTGTGACAAAAAATTACAACTTCAAAAATTTGCCATGCCTCTTAATAAATACATTGGACTGCCTATTTTCCCATAAAAGGGTCATTTGGGGGAAATTTGTACTGTCCTGACGTTTTCAGGCCTCAAGAAGTGAGATGGGCCATCTGTACATCAGAATTGATCAATTTTCATATATATATACCATAGTTTGTAGACTCCATAACTTTCCTACAGACAAAATAATAAATACTGATTTGGGTTATTTTCACCAAAGAAATGTAGCAGAATGCATTTTGGCCTAAATTTATGAAGAAAGATTTTTTTCCAAAATTTTATAACAGAAAATAAGAAAAACAATTTTTTTTTGTTTTGTTTGTTTTGGTTCGTTTTTTGTTTATTTAGCAAAAAAAATAGAAAACCCATTGGTGCCTAAATACCCCCAAAAGGAAGCTCTATTTGTGTGAAAAAATGATAAAAATTTAATTTGGGTACAGTGTTGCATGACCACACAATTGTCATTCAAAGTGCAACACTGCTGAAAGCTGAAAATTTGGCCTGGGCAGGAAGATGAAGGTGCCTGGTATTGAAGTGGTTAATACCATTCAATTACAAAATTAACTTGTGTCGCAATTGTTTATGCTATATCTATGTATACACTATATTGCCAACAGTATTGGTCTCCTGCCTTTACACCAGTGTTTCTCAACTCCAGTCCTCATGGACCCCCAACAGGTCATGTTTTCAGGATTTCCATTATTTTGCACAGGTGATTTGTTCAGTTTCACTGCCTTATGCAGGCCATAGATGGGTCGAAAATCGGCCGATTTTTCGGCCGAAAATAAAATCGGCTGATTTTCGGATCGTTAGTGGGCTATTTGTTCGGCCGTTTTTCGGTATTTTGGCCGTTTTTTTTTTTTGGTAAAGTTGGAAAAAAATCGTCCGATTTTGCCGATCGGCCGATTTTCGCGGCAATTAGTGGGCAAATCGGCCGATTTTTTACCGCTAAAAAATCTGCGCATGAGCAGTGACCTGCAAGAGGAAGACAAAAAGAAGAAAAAGAAGAAGAGGAAGAGGATGAAGAAGAGGATGAAGAAGAGGATGAAGAAGAGGATGAGGATGAAGAAGAAGAAGAGGATGCGGATGATGAAGAAGAAGAGGATGAGGATGAAGAAGAGGATGAAGAAGAAGAAGAAGAGGATGAAGAAGAGGATGAGGATGAAGAAGAGGATGATGATGAAGAAGAGGATGAGGATGAAGAAGATGATGAGGATGAAGAAGTCGAAGAGGATGAGGATGAAGAAGAGGATGAGGATGAAGAAGAGGATGAGGATGAAGAAGAAGTAGGAGGATGAGGATGAAGAAGAAGGATGAGGATGAAGAAGGATGAGGATGAAGAATAGGATGAGGATGAAGAAGAAGTAGAAGAAGAGGATGAGGATGAAGAAGAGGATGAGGATGAATAAGAGGATGAGGATGAAGAAGTAGAAGGAGGATGAGGATGAAGAAGGATGAGGATGAAGAAGAAGAATAGGATGATGAAGAAGAGGAGGATGAGGATGAAGAAGAGGAGGATGAGGAAGAAGAGGAGGATGAGGATGAGGAAGAAGAGGATGAGGATGAAGAAGAAGAGGATGAGGATGAAGAAGAAGAGGATGAGGATGAAGAAGAAGTAGGATGAAAATAAGAGGAATTCCAGTCCAGCAAAAAGTGTCCCTGCAGAGAGCTCCGCTATTTCTTTGACAGTTCTCTGACAGTTCCTTGACATTTACAGCCGTTGCAACATTGTATCTATTTGTTTCCAAATAAAAACATCTGTATCCTAAATGGAAACAAATAGATACAATGTTGCAACGGCTGTAAATGTCAAGGAACTGTCAGAGAACTGTCAAAGAAATAGCGGAGCTCTCTGCAGGGACAGTTTTTGCCAGCTGTAGACGGGATGAAAATCGGCCGATTTTTTTTTTTTAACCATTGGTGGTAACGTCGGCCACTTGAACGACCGATTGTTCGTTTTTTTAAAAGAAAAATCGGCCGATTTTCGACCCATCTATGGCCTGCATTAGTAATTACCACAGCTGTTTCATCTGAGGGAAATCCTGAAAACAAGACCTGTTGGGGGTCCATGAGGACTGGAGTTGAGAAACACTGCTTTACACACACATGACCTTTAATGGCATCCCAGTCTTAGTCCGTAAGGTTCAATATTGAGTTGGCCCCGCCCTTTGCAGCTATAACATCTTCAACTCTTCTGGGAAGGCCGTCCACAAGGTTTAGGAGGGTGTCTATGGGAAGGTTTGACCATTCTTCCAGAAGTGCATTTGTGAGGTCAGGCACTGATGTCGGACGACAAGGCCTGGCTCACAGTCTGCGCTCTAATTCATCCGAAAGGTGTTCTGTCGGGTTGAGGTCAGGACTCTGTGCAGGCCAGTCAAGTTCCTCCACCCCAAACTCGCTCATCCATGTCTTTATGGACCTTGCTTTGTGCACTGGTGTGCAGTCATGTTGGAACAGGAAGGGGCATCCCCAAACTGTTACCATAAAGTTGGGAGCATGAAATTGTTCCAGAATGTCTTGGTATGCTGACGCCTAAGAGTTCCCTTCACTAGAACTAGGGGGCCAAGCCCAACCCCTGAAAAACAACCCCACACCATAATCCCCCCTCCACCAAACTTTACACTTGGCACAATGTAGGCAGGCTATTATTGTTCTGGCAACCACCAAACCCAGACATGTCCATTGGGTTGCCAGACAGAGAAGCGTGATTGGTCACTACTCCAGAGAACACGTCTCCACTACTCTAGAGTCCAGTGGCAGCATGCTTTACACCACTGCATCCGACGCTTTTCATTGCACTTGGTGATGTAAGGCTTGGATGCAGCTGCTCGGCCATGGAAACCCATTCCATGAAGCTCTCTACACACTGTTGTGTTAATCTGAAGGCCACACCAAGTTTGGAGGTCTTTAACTATTGACTCTGCAGACAGTTGGCGACTTCTGCGCACTGTGTGCTTCAGCATGCACTGTCCTCGCTCTGTCATTTTACGTGGCCTACCACTTGGTGGCTGAGTTGCTGTTGTTCCCAGTTGCTTCCACTTTGTTATAAGACCACTAACAGTTGAGCGTGGAATAGTTAGTAGCAAGGAGATTTCATGGATGGACTCATTGCACAGGTGACAACCTATCACGGGACCACGCTTGGAGTCACTGAGCTCCTGAGAGCGACCCATTCTTTCACAAATGTTTGTAGAAGCAGTCTGCATGCCTAGGGGCTTGATTGTATATGCCTGTGGCCATGGAGGTGACTGGAACACCTGAGTCCAATGATTTGGAGGGCTGGCCCAATACCTTTGCCAATATAGTGTGTGTGTGTGTGTGTGTGTGTGTGTGTGTGTGTGTATATATATATATATATATAATTTGCCCCCCCCAAAAAATCTCCTGGGTTCTCAGCTCCTTCCACTTCATATAATAATTGTTTTCTACTTTCTCCTATGCAGATCATCCACTCGGACGGTTCCAGGAACAGGTACTCCGGTTGGCCGGCAGAAATCCAAATTGATGGCTGTTTACGAAGACAATAAACTGTAATTCTTCTAAAACTGTTCCGTATATTTAAGTTGAATTAAATGCAAAAAAGAAGATGGCAAAAAGGACAACACACAAGTGCATGACAATGATATCATGTTTGGAAACATGACGAGTAGCGTGTGGAAGAATGTGGTTAGATTACAATTATCAGGAAATTCTCGATGAAGCCCGTATCTAAAACTACTCCTATTTTTTTTCAATCCTGGCACTCCAGGAAAATTTTTTTTAGATCTGTGTACAGAAGAATATATTTGTATATTTGGTAAAAGTGTATTTTACTACTGACTGTAGATGATGATATACATGAACTACTGAGATTCTTGTTTGGACAGTCAGCAGGTTGCCTTACCCAGAATCCTTTGCACAAACTCGGGTTCATTGCGTACACTGGAAATTTAAAGCATCTGGTCACTTTAACCGCTTACCGGCAGTTTGTTGGCCGAGGTATTTTGGAGCGCTGGTTTAAAAACGGCGCCCTTGTTTACTACTTGTGCCAGTGCCTCGTGTGGCACAGAGCCAATCAGAACCCATCCTCCCACTGTATGTGAGCTGTAGTTTAACCCCTTCATCTCCACCTCCCTCTGTGTAGTACTTGTACATTAATGATGGGCTGTATCTAGTGCACTATTACTATGCTCCATGTTTTAACCACTTTAATGTTCCTTCATTTGCAAACCAATGCAGCAAAAAATGATTACCTCGGGGTATCTACTTTCCATGAAAAGGTTCATTTTGAGGGTGTTTGTACTGTTCTGACATTTTTATTTGATACATTTTATAATAGAAAATACATTTTGAGGTCTTTTTTCCCTTTAAACAATAAAAAAAAATAAAGAAAACAATTCTGGTTACAAAATACCACCAAAAGTTCTGTCTGTTTAAAAAATTTTTAAAATTCATTGGGGTACAGTGTTTAACTGACTAATTGACAGTCAAACCATCAAAAAAAAACAAACAAAAATGGCCTGGATAGAACGGGGTATTACAAGCTGGTACTGAAGGGCCTATGTTTTGCCTTGCGTGGTGCGCTAATGCACTTTACAAGCTGATACGTTTTTATGCAGTGCTGGGAAAAGGTCATCTGGTGCACAGGACAAAAGTGCCAAACTGTGACCCCCCCCCCCCCCCCCCTTCTGCCTCCAGCAGCGGTGCCTGTGACCATATTACTAACCCCCCAGCATTGGTGGTCAGTGTTATGTGATCTAAACCCATCATTATTGGTAGGCCCTTAACTTTCTTTCTGTATTGATGATCAGTGGCGGTGCTATTTAAAAATATCCATCCCCATTGGTGGTCAGTGGCATTATTAATTAACCTCTTCATGCTGAATTAGTGGCCAGTGGTAGTAGATGGTTCCTTGTACAAAGCTACCCTATGCACTGTCTGGCTGCATATCAGGAAATGGGTCTCTGACATTAAATGACCAAACTCAGCCTGCTGTTCTCAAGTCTGTTTCCCTGCCTTACATCTAACCCCCTCCCATGTGGTGTCAATCTCTCTCTGGCTGGGAATAAAACCATGTTAGAGCAGCAGGCTGGGACTAATCATCACTCCATCTGCCAGTAGTACTGGCCAGGCCCAGAAGCACAGAGAAAGCACCACAGCACCCTGCTCCATTTGCAGGGAGTTGCTCTGCATGTGTCGGGCACAAGGGTAGGGCAGAAGGGGCAGGTGCCTCAGTGGAATTGGGGGTGGGTGGGCAGCGTGACCATCCCCAGTGGAGAAACACTGCAGTGCTTTTCTGCTTTTGATGGTCATGCTGCACCTCAACCCCCCCCCCCCCCCCATATTTCACTCCTTCAACTGGGGCACTTGCTCCTTCTGCCCTCCCTTTGTCCCAGCCCTGATTATAGGGACACAATTATGTTGACTGCCTTCCAAATTATATTGAGTTCAAATATTTCCAGTGAAAGATACTGGTAATACTACAGCATACAAACACATTTTAGACAATTGTGCTCTTCCAACCTTGTGGTAACGTTTTGAGAAAACCCTCTTCTGTTCCACCATGGCTGTGCCCCTATGTACAAAACCAGCTCCATAAAGACATGGTTTGATTAGTTTTTTGTGTCGGAACTTGAATGACTTGAATAGAACCCCGATCTCAACCCTACTAAACACTGTTCATGATAAATTGGAATGCTGATTGTGAGCCTGGTCATTTACAAAATCAGTACTTGACCTCACACATGTTCTTTTGGGCCGAATGGCCCAATTTCTTGCAGACACCAATATCTTGGAAAGCCTCCCCAGAGGAGTAGAGGCACCATATTAATGCCCATGGTTTTGAAAGGGAATGTCCAATAAGCCCATATAGATGTGATGGTCTGTGCCCACACACTTTTGGCCATATATTGTATTTTTATGAATTGTTTTCTATTTACCAACTGCAAAAACTATTCCTATTCCTGGCCATAAATTAAAACTGAACTCCAGGAATAAAGCCATCCCGGTTGGAGTTTGGCAAAGGGATTTTTCTGTCCAACATGACTGTGCCCCTGGGCACAAAGGAACCTCCATATAGATATGGTTTGGTGTAGTGGAAATCAAGTGACCTGCACTGAACTCTGACCTCAACCCTACTGAACACCTTTGGGGTGAATTGGAGCCAAGTCTTCTTGAACTTGACCTTATGAATGCTCATTTGGCTGCATGGACCCATATTTCCACAAATGCCAATAGTCTTTCCAGAAGAATGGAGGCTGTTATAGCTGCAAAGTGGGGAGCCAACTTCATAGTAATATCCATAGCTTTGAAATGGAATAACCACTAAGCAGTTACTGTACGTATGATGGCCAAGTGTCCAGCCGAACTCTGGGGAACAAACCTTAATCCTTGCACTGGGAGTAAGTATTAGCTACTTGTTTTGCTTAGAGCAGTGGTCTCCAAACTCTAGCCTGCAGGCTGAATGCAGCCCTTTGCTTACCTTTCTCTGGCTCTTGGAGCTTCTACTTATATGGGGCACTATTCCTTCCACAGATACCAATCAAAGGGCACCATTTCTTCTACTGACAATAAAAATGGGGCACAATTTGTTCCACTGATATCAATGATGGGGCACTACTTCAGCACTCCTCCACTGATACAGCACTATTCCTCCCACTGATACCAATGATGGGGCACCATTGCTCCCACTGATACCAATGATGGGGCACTATACTGATACCAATGATGGGGCACTACTCCTGCCACTGATACCAATGATGGGGCACAATTCCTCCCACTGATACCAGGGATGGGGCACTATTCCTCCCACTGATACGACATACGACTTCTCCACCATGACAGCAGTATGAGACAGATTCTGCCTCTACAGTTTAGAAATACCATCGTTAGTCTCATCTTCAAGGTGAACCTTAAAGTGGAACCTCAGGGAACACAAAAATTAACCTCAAATGCTTGTTTTTTTTTAGGGGTAAAAGAAAAAGTACTTATTCCATGGCAGCCAGAGCTCTTCCCTAAATTCTGTTGCTCTAGTACACGGTGTCAAACTGGAGGCCCTCCAGCTGTTGCCAAACTACAAGTCCCATGTGGCATTGCAAGAATGACAGTTACAAGCATGACTCCCAAAGGCAGAGGCATGATGGGACTTGTAGTTTCGCAACAGCTGGAGGGCTGCCAGTTTGACACCCCTGCTCTAGTATGTAGGTAGAGCTCTTGATGTTCTCACATGCAATGCACAACCACTGGTGCTGCACTGTACCTGGTGCTGTCAAGAGGTCACAACTGGTGGAGCGGGAAAAGGGAATCAGCTTCAGGTGCCAATCGTATGCCAAGCAGAAAGCTTGTGGGACTAAGAATAAGATACATTTTTGTGCTCATTTCTCTACTACTAGACAAAACACACATTTAGCCCTTGCAGTTTGGAGTGGGACCCACAGTTTAGGTTAACTCTTTGTTTTGTAACCCTTGTATTGTAACCAGTGTAAGTCTGCAAAAAAGACAAATTCCTGGAGTCCTGTTTTAAGAACAAAGTATTGCTGTGGGGGCCAGTAAATCACATCAAAGGTCTCAGCAGGGGAATGAATATCTGACACTCCTTAAAGTGTCACCAAGAAGAAATGAATGAAAAATCTCCTGTGCTCAAAGGACTGGATATGGCATATGTGGAATAATCTTCAAAGACCTTAGCATTCAAAGCAATATAGCAATACTGTGCAGCCCCCTAAGGGCTGGGGTAGCCCAATATGGCACTAGAAAATAAGAAAAGAAAAGGGGCGCACAAACCTTGCGCATTGCCTCAATAAAAACTTTAATCGTGAAAAAAAAAAAATTGCAGATGAAGAGGAGATCGCTCCTCGAAACGAGTCAACCATTTCCCAGTGTCTTTTTCACATGTGGGACTCATGCACTTTTTCAGACCATGGGCCATTGTTGGTCATGATATGCCGGTTTACATGTGTCGTTTGTGAGTATACATCTGCTATTTTTTACGATTCAAGTTTTTATTGAGGTGATGCACAAGACTTGTCTTTTCTTTTTTTCTAACTCCTTAAAGTGTGTTGAATACTGAATATACACTATAATGCCAAACGTACCTAGGCATGCAGACTGCTTCTACAAACATTTGTGAAAGAATGGGTCGCTCTCAGGAGCTCAGTGACTCCAAGCGTGGTCCCGTGATAGGTTGCCACCTGTGCAATAAGTCCATCCATGAAATCTCCTGGCTACTAAATATTCTACGGTCAACTGTTAGGGGTATTATAACAAAGTGGAAGCAACTGGGAACAACAGCAACTCAGCCGCCAAGTGGTAGGCCACGTAAAATGACAGAGCGGGGTCAGTATCTGCTGAAGCGCACAGTGCGCAGAAGTCGCCAACTGTCTGCAGAGTCAATAGCTAAAGACCTCCAAACTTGGTGTGGCCTTCAGATTAGCACAACAACAGTGAGTAGAGAGCTTCATGGAATGGGTTTCCATGGCCGAGCAGCTGCATCTAAGCCTTACATCACCAAGTGCAATGCAAAGTGTTGGATGCAGTGGTGTAAAGCACG